AACTCAAAACTTTGATATCAGATTATCAAGTTATATATACCAAAACTGTACTTAATCATGGTTTTTGCACTTTTCTGGTTTACCTAGCTCTTATCACTTTGTAAAATTTTCAAAAGTCTGGTTGAATGAGATTATTTCTCCATTCTGCTTCTAGTTCTCGGACAATCAAAAACTATTATGCCTGTCCATGTCTGGACCTATCAGTCTATAGAAACATTTCCCAGAAGGATGCTTAGGATTCAATTCAGTCACACAAATATAACATGTTTCTAAAAATTAACCTCATTTCCTTCGTTGGAATATATAGCTTAACTTTTTTTTGATATAACAAACCATCAACATTGATTAAAATTCTTAAAGAAAAGGTAAGGTGTGACTCGATGATAAGAAAGTCCCCAGTTCTACAACAACTTATCAAAAATGATCGCAATAATTCTCCACGAAATTGTGTACTTGGTATGCTGACACATGAAACTGAATCACAAAGTTATAGAAAGCAGAGTCTGATATATGAAGTTTAACTGGATGGTGTTTTTGGTATGTAAATAATACTCTTATGAGACAACTGTATTGGAATTCGAAGACAGAAGATCTCATTCATTTCATTGGCCATTTCTCTTCTTCCCTCAGACACGGATACTGTCCCTGATAGAATCGCAGCCATTTCTGAGTCTGTTATATCGCGGTCAATAATGAATGTCATCTCTCTTGTTTATTTTTGCAGTTGACAGTTAAAGTGGCTCGTTGTTTATTAGGACATCAAATATTACTTTCAAATTTTCAGCAACAGAAAAAAATCTCAATTTTTAACCCGATGAAATTGCATTTATAAACTAAATTCAATTTTTCAATATGCATCTTTAAAAACATTTTTATTATTACACTTTACACATTTGTGGTTGTAAATATACTAAACTTATTTTATTCAATATTTTAGATACACTGTCTTTAACTTTCAAACACAATGAATTGCTATGTACACAAATACTAGGACTCAGTTTTAAAATAATTCCAGCACTAACATCCATTAAACACACTGTTGACTAAAAGCATGGTTTGCTACCTTAACCTTTTTTCTAAGAAAATAATCTCCTTGGCATTTCTTCCGTGGTATTTTTCATTAAAACTAATCCAAAACTGGGGAAACCTGGGAATGATCATCATCAAAGACGTGTGATTTGTAGCTCATAATCTTAAATATTGCTTTTTAATGGGACAGTTAAAAAGTCTACACTTCTAAACAAAAAAAAAGCTGAATTCCCTGAGATTGGAAAATTATGTCTTGATTATCTATTCTAGGCTATATGTTTTAAAGGTCAAATGACTGAAATAGGTATTAAATGGAAAATGGAAAAAATGAAGCTATGAATGAGACAATTTTCTGATTTGTATAGATCCCTAGAGGTTTGTCTTTTAAATATCAGATCAAATAACAGTACCTCTATAACAGATATAGCATATTTTGTTTCAAAGGTTTTCTGTTCCCTTTTGCCGTCTAAACATACATAAACATTTCTTATAGCAGACATAATCTTTTATAAATCACAGTGACAGGATCTAAATTTACCAAAATTTAGGAATTTCTGTAGGGAAGCTTGTACAATGTTAAAAGTCTCAAAGCTGTGTTGCTAAGAAGACATTTTCATTGGCTTTTTCTGGCATACAACTTGTATATGTTTGTAATGATGAAATAGTAAGTAATTGAAAAGATTGATTGAAAGATGGAAATCTACTTCTAAAAATTTGGACCCAAAATCGAGAGTCAGACTCCTTAACTGGGAGTATTGGTTATTTCAGAGGTTGTTCTATATAATACGACATTGTGATAGCCAATAATCAGCAAAAGATTTTGTATTTTCGAACCTGATAAACAAAGATGAATATTCCGATCTTCAAGTCAAAATCAGCTAATTTTTTTTCAAGATAAATATACAAAAGAGACCATAACAAAATTTGACCGACAACAGACTGTACAATAGTTACATGTCAAGTCTCATCACAAGCTCCCAAATGATGCTGATTGTCATTTACATCATACAGGTGGTGAGTAACTATAGTCATACTGACAATAAGCTTTTCTGTGACTAGGAGTAAAATCACACTCTCTAACATCAACCAGCTGATGCTGTGTATCAATCAGCACAATTACTGTTGACATTTCACCAAGGAATGTCCAGCAGCCTGATGAAATCATATACAAAAGAGTGATTGCCAATCAGGCCTCACTGTTCGCTGATTGAAAGAGATTTTTTATGTCGTTTTGACGATGGCAGTAGGATTATTGTTATACATTTACTTTCTACAGAGGTATCAACATCAAAGGAACTTAGATCTATATAACCAACCAAAGACAGTGATTGTCGCTGAGGTCGACATGTTAGGTTTGATGTGAAATCAAGTAATTCACGTAACACAGGTTTTGGACGCACATAAAAACTTCTTGTGCCGAACAATGTTCTGTATTATCAATCTCTAAATACACTATGATCAACCTGTTGTTACCTTGATTGATTAGAACCCAGAAATATGTGAAAACAACTTGTTACATGAAGTATTGTATTTCAGGATAAAAAAATTCAATTTCTAACTTGCTCTAAACTCCAATGTGTGCTAAATTCTAAACACTATGGCCACACAAAAGCCTTCATTTTTTCTAAATAGGCAAATTTAAATGGGTAAAGAATCAGTTGAAACAATCTGGCAATGAGCAAATTCTTACCATTAAGCTCTCTTTAGTTTGTTACCATGACAATAGAAATTCTTACATCCAAACACTCTATGGCACCAAAATTGAAGAAAATGCATAAAATATTGAATATTTTATGGCAAAAATGGTTTGCGAGGAAAAAAAGAAGAAACAAATTGTGTTTCCAGAAGCTATGTGTTGATAACTCTGCTTCGGAGGGTATCATGATTATCGGATGTATATTTTCTCTTCACATGGAATACAAAAGTACCTTCGTAATAACCAATACATCTGACAGTGACAACAGCATGGCTTTGTAATCAACAAATGCTCGCAGAATGAAATAGAACAAACTTGTACTCTCTCAGACACATGTTGAAATGACTTATATATATCGTTCTACAGACAGAATGCCAATGACAGCTCAGATCACTAAAAGTGTGGCTATTTCTCCTGACAATTGTTTTTTAACAGAAATAAGGATTATTATTACAAGTCAAATCTACTTTCAGAAAATTCAAGAAGACAAACTTCGATTTGGAGATGGTAAAAAAAAATGTTGAAACAATCATTTTAGCTACATGTCTGGAGTCATTAAGCCAGCCATATCTACTGTACTTTAAAGCAAAATTCTATCATTGTAAGTATTAAGTACATTATATTACTAATTTCTTTTAAAATCCCTTTACGGTAGTCATGTGGCGCAGTGGTAACACACTCGCCTTTCACCTAGCCATCTGGGGTTCAATTCCCGGAATGGATGTGAAAAGGCATGGGTCATCTGCTCGACCATGTTGGTTCTTCCCGGGTACTCCGGTTTCCTCCTCTAAGTTTATTATTATCATTATCATTAAGCCAGCCACATCTACTGTACTTAAAAGCAAAATTCTATCATTGTAAGTATTAAGTACATTATATAACTAATTTCTTTTATAACCCCTTTAGAAGTTTTGTGCATCTTTTTTAAAACTTCACAAATAAATTTTAGATTGCTGTAACACATACTTTTCCAAATTTCGAATCCCTCCTGAGCTTGATTATAGGGACTTGAATAGGAACATGGTTTGTGATTCTTGTCAAGCAGGTTAATCCTAAAATATTTACAAATATGTCTCATTATCAGATGCATCAACTTCACTGTTGACACATGTGATGACAGTTCTTGTGGAGGTTTAAAACCCTGATGCCAAAATAAGGTCAAACTAGAGCACAGTTACACTGGCACCAAACCAGTAAATCAACATGTGATTAAGCTAAGTCATTATTTTGAGGTCTGGGCGTTACTGGACAATTTGTTATTCATTTTGTCTGAAGTCATTACCGTAGATTGATGTAGGGATCTCAGAGAGAGTCTGCCAAAGATGAAGCCACTTCCATAATGATGTACACCCCAGAACTCATGTATGGTAAAATTTTTTGAAAATTTAAAAGGACTCGTAATTATTGAAATTTGGGATTGAAATTTCCAACATCATGCAAATTTACAAAACTAAATCCTAGACTAAATAAAGGAAATACAAAACAGCAGTTTAACATTTCCAGAATTCTGACAATTATGAACTAACTACTTTTTCATAAACTAAATAATTCACAAATAATATAATATGATAATATCAATAAGGGCGATAATACATGTAACAAGAGCGTGATTTTAATTGGTCACATTTCTCAAGTTAGGGCACTTTTATAAAGAGAATATTCAAGTATTTCTTTGTGTCATCATCATGATGGGTCATGCATGTATTGCTGTACAAAACTAAAACATACTAGGTTAATCAGAACTCAGACAAGACATGTACTCTGTGACCTTGTGTAAATATGTGTTATATTATATATAAAATGTTGGTAGATATCTATGGCAGTCCTGTCTTTGTTGATATGTGGGTAGACAGTGATATTAAGAACCTCTCTTGTCTGACTTAGCTTGATTACAAATGTAAACTGTATCCATGTAGTGTTTCTTTGTAAAAGATCACTGTCATAGCAATCGCCATACAAATTTCATTGGAGAAAGGACAGAAAAAAAAAAAACTTGTTCAACAAGCAATCTTTTCACTCAACACAGCAACTGAAGAAAATCAATTCTTCACTAAAATGTTTTGGTACAGCAAGATTTGTCGAAATATTTTGAAAAATAAAAAATTGTATTCCTGATAAAACCTTCCAATGTAACATGAAAACGGAAGAGCTTAGTCAGTCTGCATAGCTAGATTCATGGTAGGACGATGACAACCAGTCAAAGGTTGTCTCAGTCTGTGCGTTGATATGAATACTTTAAGCTCTTAAAGAACACAAATAGAATAATAACACCTACCAATGGCAGCCTTCCCCCAAATTTCAACAACAAATTCTGTCGAAGTGGAGACATTCGGGCGTCCAGCAACAGGTTCCTTGTAACTTTTAAGGTTTGTTTCTGACTCCCATGGGATGTGTGGTAGCTGTTTTGGAGCCCCTACATCCTCCTTCTCAAATTCTTCCCCCCAAGGATTCCAATCGGTATCATCATCCGTGAATGCTTTAATGGAAGAGAAAAAAAGACATCTAGAATTGATGTTTCCTGATATGAAATATTTAGGTTCAAGTAAGTTGATATTTCAATAATGATAAAAACAAATATCTGTGATATATTTATGATCCTGTTAAGTAGAGATGTCTGAAACTGCAGACAAGAAAAGCTAGTGAACATCTGCATTATATCAACATATACGACATTAACAATACACAACATCTGATTTATAATTGTTTCAATCAATCATGAAATATTGGTCCATGCATGTCCTGTAAAACATTTTAAGATCCTATTAACTGAAACATAAATATAAGACCTGCTCTCTGGTCATGGCAATAATGATTTCTAAGAGTGACAGAGATTTACAGGGAAACATCCAAAAGAAACAGCACTTACGTAGTATTTTTATCAGGGAAAATATTGTGTAGATATTTCATGACCATTTCCAGCAGGTAACCAGATAACAAATTGAAGACAGAAAAACTTTTGGGAAATTCGATCACAACTTAAATTGATTAGCTGTATCAGTTTACGACATGAACAACTTGTCACCTGACCAGCCTTGTGTGGGAAATATTCCTGTGCAAAGACTAGTGTTTTATAATAGGTTAGCTGGTTTACTTGTTTGGAGTGTTGTTTATGTAAATATCTTATTAGTTTAACAACAATGCATTGTACATGTATATTACATACTGTACGTTGGGTACACCAGAATCCTCAATGTAACAGTCTTGTTCCTTTATATATCCGAAATACAAAATCTATTACCAATGCAATATTCTGTCCATGAAATATTACATCTGATCATGCAACTTTATCACACTGTAATTCCATTTCTCTGGCGTTAACACTTCATAAAATAAAATGTCTACAACTCACTATATGTTCAGCACCTTTTGTCCAATATAAAAGCCTCGACTAGCCGCCCATTTCATTTATTTACATCACGATACAGTCCCAGGGGTTGCCTCCAACATAATGTTTCAGTGATCTATATCCGACATGGGTATAAAGAGAACCTTTGAATGTCTCACGGTAAACCGACAAAAAGACAGTTTTGAATGTGATGGTAAATATATCACCTAAAATGTCACATTTTGTCTCCGTAGAACTAGATCAGATTTTGTCTTTAAAGATCCGGTTTACAGTGTGTGTTCTGTTTTATAGACTTGGGTCCCTAACTCTGTTGAGATTTTTCTTGTAAGAAACCACATCTTTAGCCATGAGTGATCCTTGCTATCTTAATAATTTTGTTTGAAAAGACCATACACTTGTTTAAAGCTTGAGTTTTTAAAAATATTTTGCTTTTCTTTTGCAGGTCCTTACCTTTGTCCTAGTCTAAAGATCATTCATTTCAAAAGACCTTACCATTGCCTTAATTAAGTCTGAGTCCTTTTGTTTAGAGAGATGCTACCATTGTCTTAAGCCTGAGGTCTTTTGTTTTTAGACACTACTAATCCATTAAGTCTGAGTCCTTTTGTTTAGAGAGATGCCACCATTGTCTTAATCCTGTGACATTTTGTTTTATCAACCCTTCCATTGTGTGAGCTTGAGATCTTGTGTTTAGAGAGACCCTTCCATTGCCTAAGGCCTGAGATCTTGTGTTTAAAGAGACCCTACCATTGTCTGAGGCCTGAGATCTTGTGTTTAAAGAGACCCTACCATTGTCTGAGGCCTGAGATCTTGTGTTTAGAGAGACTCTCCCATTGTCTAAGGCCTGAGATCTTGTGTTTAGAGAGACCCTTCCATTGCCTAAGGCCTGAGATCTTGTGTTTAGAGACCCTACCATTGCCTAAGGCCTGAGATCTTGTGTTTAGAGAGACTCTACCCTTGTCTAAGGCCTGAGATCTTGTGTTTAGAGAGATCCTTCCATTGTCTAAGGCCTGAGATCTTGTGTTTAGAGAGACTCTACCATTGTCTAAGGCCTGAGATCTTGTGTTTAGAGAGACCCTTCCATTGCCTAAGGCCTGAGATCTTTTGTTTAGAGAGATCCTTTTGCTGTCTTAGGCCTGAGATCTTGTGTTTAGAGAGACTCTACCATTGTCTTAAACCTGAGATCTTGTGTTTAGAGAGACTCTACCATTTTCTAAGGCCTGAGATCTTGTGTTTAGTGAGGTTCTACCATTGTCTAAGGCCTGAAATCTTATGTTTAGAAAGACCTTTCCATTGTTGTAAGCTTGAGATGCATTGACTTTTTAAAATTCCAAATCCAGTCGTGTTTGAAACAATCTTTCATACACTATTCAAAATCTGAGTTAATGTGTGTATGCTAGGTACTGTAGGTGTATTGTGTCTGAGGTGGACTGTCCTTATTAACCCTGGCAGCTTTCATATAGAAGCTAGTATACTGCAGTGATGGAGTGGCTGCAATAAAGAGATGTCGAGGTTAAAACATTAATGGCGTGTCCTGACAAATTCATCACCAAAGTATGTGTGAGAACTGTTGATGGAAAGGAAGACAATAGTGATATAACGGTAAATAGACATTGATGAGACAGGCATTTACTGACAACTGCCATGGGAGTACAAGCTTAACAGATCTCAAAATGGTAGTCTAATGAAAACATACAACAATGTAATTATTTTCTATCAAAAAATGTCTTTAACACACACAATAAGAATGTTTTTGTTTCCAGTCATGTGATTTCCAACCATGAGTGGTATATAACTTTCAGTAACCAGTCTGTATCTGTTGCTTGTCTCTGTTGCATCTAATGACGGAGAATGCATAAAACTCCTGTGACTTATGTCCAATAGACAAGGGACAAGTGTACATTCTAAACAAAATCCCAAATTTGTTTATATAATCACAAATGTATTTATTCATCCACTTGTTGTGCTGTCAAAATGTCATACAATTGACAACTGAATCATAACGAAAAAATTGATTTTGGCATTAAATTCTTATGTTACATGAACTGATGTCGCTCGAAGCAAAATTTTCCTCAGAGAGGTCATTCATTGTATATATACGTATATATATCACCAACAGAGAAATCTCAAAAGCTACTGATGCAATGCTAGATTATTCTGTCCTTTCAAATCGGTTTTGTACTTTTATCAGATAGCTGATGCTATGTGACATCATATTCCAATGTCTTTCTTTCCAGTGTATAACCACAAAGGGAGGTAATCCAAATCAAATTGAAGAATTCGGAAATAATAATAATAAATAGATTTATGCAGTTATGAGAATTAAATGAAAGAGAAATAAAATGTATTCCCTGTATACTGTTTGAGATCCATTTATCTCCATTTTGGGCTTAAACATGATACAAAATCTCAATCTCATATCTAATGAGATTTCGTTAAAGATTCTATCAATTTGATTTCCTAATCATAACGAGTTTGTAAAGTCAGAATTCACTGTATACAATATCAATTCCTTTATCAGTGACTTTTCCTACCCTATAGACAGTGGAATATACAGCTTTAAGTTGTTCATATTTAAAAAAAATCAAAGGAAATATCCCAAATGACATAATATGTTAACGGTAAGCATTATAGAAAAACTGAAGACATCAAATTCATCAGCAAGGATTTTTTAATGAATTACACATTATAAGACAGCTAGTCTCACAAGTTCAAATTATAAATGATGTATAATCATATAAACGCTGTAAATTTTTAGAGTATATGGCCATTTGAAGGTTTTGACCCAGAAGTAGTCGTGGTAGCCATATTTTAATCTTGACCTACCAAAGCACCAAACTGTTGTGATGACCCTTTCTAACTTTGAAGTTCATGATAATTGATAATTGACAGACTTTGTATAAATACATATGTATTACCTATCCATCGATATATTAACTGAAGCACCACAAAGTATAGCAGAAGAAAAATAACAACACTATTTAGAAGAAACATTGACAAAAACTATGGATATTTTGTGACAAAGAAATAAGTTAATCTGTATCTGTTGCTGATGGACATCTTAATGAAATGAATGGAAGACATGTTGATGAACTCTGAGTGTTGACTGTATTACAGGTAACAGTAAAACTAACCTTAATGACTACTCCAATTTTTAATGAGACCCTGTTGATATGGTAACAGTAAACTTAACCTTAAGGACCTATTCCAATGCTGATCATAGGCCCTGTTGATATAGTAACAGTAAACTTCACCTTAAGGACCTATTCCAATGTTGACAAGGCCCTGTTGATATGGTAACAGTAAAATTAACCTTAAGGACCTATTCCAATGTTGACAAGGCCCTGTTGATATGGTAACAGTAAAATTAACCTTAAGGACCCATTCCAATGTTGACAATGCTGAAAATGCTCTATTTATATGATAGAATTAACCTACATGAGTATTCTAATTGAATTCTAAGCAGATTGTATTCATATATTTCTATTCTTCTTTTTTTTCTTCTTGTGGGATCTACTGATATATTATGTGTACCTCTAGTAACTGGTTGGTAAACTAAAGCCCTTTTAAAAGGTTGTACACATGTGTAAATATCTCCAAAGCGCTTTTTCAAATGCAAACATTTCCTCCACAAGCTATGCCAGCTATGTCAACAGGAGGAAGTCTTTGTAAAGACTGACTGAACTGTTTTTTTTTTCTAAACAGGTTTTAAAGAATCAAACAGTCGTGAGTATTTTAACAGCAACTAGTTTATAAAAGTATGTGATCCAGAGAATTCAACACTGGGCTACATTATAATAAGTGAAGATCTTTGAGTCAGTAACCAATTTAATCAAAATTGTAAAGTAATTTTGGTTGTTATTTTTGAGTGATTTTCATGTTTTCTCTTTCTTTTCCAGGATGGAATGAAATTATAAAAATCATATATTTTAAACAAGAGGGCCACAGCCCTTAATGGCCATCTGGCAATCAATGAATGGATGGACAAACCACAGAATTTGCAAATGGTGGTCTGATAAATTCCCATGATGATATTTCAAACCACATTTAGTATAAATCCATTCAAGCAGCAAGGAAAAGCAGTGTTTTGAAGCAGAATCATTGACTAACTTTCCCTTTTAGGGCCCCCGCCC